ATTGTTAAATTATAACAATCAAAGATTGTAAAAATATTAGTGAACCTAAAGACTTTTTAAAAGTCTGCTTTTTAGACGATCTTCAGAATTCGTGTTAGAATTCAAGATATAATTTTATTCATAATTTTATATGTAGTATAATACGACAGATATCGAAAACTCGAAATATGTGCATATAACATACATATTAAAATACAGGTATATACATCAAAGTACACGTGGCAAAAAATTGTCAATAAAATTTCTGTGTGAACCGAAGCGAATTATAGATCGTCTAAAGCAAACTTTAAAGCTAGTCAATTTCGTTCTTTGTCGTTCGAAAAAGGCCAGTGAAAAGTGGTCTATACTAAAAATTCGTCTAGCTGACCTTTTCAATGCTTTGAACTTTTAACATCAAATATTTTAGCAATCGTATATATATCTGGTTAAAATTTTATTTACGTGAATCCTTGAAATTAAACGAAAAATACCTTATATTTTTTATCGTCTTTAATTTAAAAAGTTATGACTTTAATCATGTATTCCTACTAAAAAAAAGTTATACGTCTACTCAGTTTTGCTAGCAACGCGCGCGCATATATCGCTGTATCGTTGGTTAACCGATGTAAGCGCAAGTACTTAAAAAAAAAAAATACTTTTTACCGAGTTACGCTCATAAGTAAGTGGGATATAAACTCTTACCCGTCGTTCGTTCCGGTATTTTACCGTAACTACCTTAACGCAATTAAAGTAAGTCTACAAGAAAATTAATAAAAGCGCCTCAGCAAGTCGCGTCAGCGGAAGTAGATCGGGAAAGACGCGGAATTGGCTCGGAAGTTAGACCCGTCGTTGGTGTATCGACTTCGTCGGTAGAAGCAAGTTCGTCGAACTATTCTTCAGGAACGTCGGACATCCCTTTCTCTGCGCTCGGTAGCGGCAGTTTGGCGTTGATTAAGGCTAAGATGAAGCTTCAGGAGTTGCAGTTGCCCGCTCGCTAATACGTGGCCTGACAGTTTCAGTTCGTAGACACATTTCTTTTCCCTCTAATCTGGCAGTAACGGAAGTGCGACAAGATACGTAACGCGATGAGATAATTTTTCATTTCTTCGTACATATATACACGTTTGCAATAATGTAAGCCATTTGTTCAATAATTTATTATTTAATTCTTTCACGTTAGATTTTTTTTTTTTTTTTTTTGGAAATGGAATAGGTCACATCAATTATAACATTTGAAATTTGTTTAGACAAACCACTTTAAAATAAGAAATCAATTACTCCATTTGACTTTAATGATATTTACATGCGTGATTTTTTTAAGCACGTGGAATATGCATGTTTCAGTTCAAAAAAGTTTATTAATAAAGTATCTCTGCGTCGCATTGAAAAAGTTGAGAGATATTTTAAGATGGTTGAAAATCAACAGCAAAGTTTCTGGTTACGAAATTTTTAGGAAGAAACTTGCGACAAAAATCGTGAGAGCATCGAAAGACGGGCTGAGTGAATTTATTGAGTTGAGAAAAGTTTCCGACCGATATTTCAATTGTTATTTCAATTGAAAGATTGTACTTTTAACAGCGAAGAAACATCGTCAGAATAAATGTATAAAGCGCGCAGCAGAGGAGATTCGACTTCGACGAAGAGAAGAGATAACATTTAATTTGAACGCAAAGTATATTCGAATTTAAACGAGTTTCTTCCACGAATCTCATTGCCGGGCCACGTATCGTCCGATTGGTAAACTCATTCAGATTCAATATTTGCGTAAAACGAAGCTTTTACCAACTGGACACAATTAATACTTTGACAGCCATTAATTGCCGATTAATAATGTAGGGACACTGCCGCGCAAGCTGCGATAATACACCACGCTCGTATTATATTATCGTTATTATTATTTCCGATTAATTATTATTGTTGTTATCGTGCCGGGACGAGGAGGACCAAGGGAGAGAAAATAAAATAAAGCTGTTGTAAATTGGCCAATTAAAATTTCTCTCTTTGAGAGGATTTCTAATAGAAGTATATATATAATACGGAGATGCCTTTTTTAATTACATGTTTAATGTGTTTTCTCCAATTCATCTGTTTCATCTAGTCGAGAAGGAATTTGCCCTCTTTATCTCGTGTTGAGTTCAATCGGGAAAGTAATAATAATTTTTACCAAATAGAGAATTATACTAGATCAATTGAAGTGTCTGGTTCTTACCTCCTTGCTGACCATCATGGCCGTAGGCATGTACCTGGTGGAGCCGCAAATAATGCCCAGTTGATAAAGGGCGAAGATGAGGAGGAGGCCCACCAGACAAGCGATGGGCCCCTTTCGGCCGCTGCGGCTCGACAGAAACATATCGCCCGTCGTGCTAAAAACCCACCTCTCACCAGGTGCTCCGTGAACAGTTTACTACCTCATTGTATCTGCAATTAAATACAATTCCTCTTAGTTCTCTCTTTTAATTTCTTTTTTTTTTTTCTTTCCAGAAGATGGACTTTTCTCAGATATTATAAAGCGTTAGAAGTTATAATTTCCATTGAGGGCAAGATTAAAAATATCATTCTCACGTTCTCTAGTTCTCGATAATCTTAAAGAAAGTAATAGTCTAGTTATAGACTTAATTCCCAATCGGATCGCAATGAGTTAATCTCTAATTGTCTACGAGTTTTTCATAGAAACTTTAAACGACACTTATAAAATGGTGATCTTTATTAAATGTCAAATTCAACTCATTTATTTCCTTACGTCATTCATTTCTACGTATTTCTTTAGGACTTAGTCTGAACTGGGACCGGAAAGGAATTATTCAAAAAATTCACGTACGGATCAGTAAGTATCACCAATTTGGCTCGCGAACGGAAAAGAATTAACTCCCTTTCGAGATCGAAGATTCCGGACCAGATTGTGACACGATAAGTGAAATAGCGTGAAGAAATCTTGGTCAATTTTTGAAATTCACTGATCGTTCCGACATCTCACATCTCGGTGTGAAACATACGCGCGTAACTCGTTTTACCGTGGCTTTTCTATCCACGTTTTCTTTCTCCCGAGCCACTTTCCCGACTCCCATGAATCTTACCCGGTTCTTCTGGACATGTGCCGTCGATATTGTTTTCGCGCTCGGTACCTTAAGCTTCGTATTTGTCTAACATGTCGTATTGTCGTAAAATTGATATCCGTGCAGCACCGTAAGGTGTAAGAGAAAAAGAGAGAGGGAGAGAAGAGGAGAGAGAGAGAGAGAGAGAGAGAGAGATCAGTAATGGAGTCGATGTTTACGACGTTTAGCATTCACAAAATATTAGTCACCTTTCGTTCGCTCATTGGGGGTATCTCAATGATATATCCTTAAAATACACGCCCAGCCGTGCTATTATA